TCCAATTTTTTCCCCGGCCCATTATCCAGCAAGGTAAACATGCCACGAAGTCGACGCTCAAAGTGCGCTTTTCAGCCACCTGTTGTTTCATCTTGAAGCGGGTTTGTCTCTAAATGGGCGAGGGGCCCTAATAATGGTTGGTTTCCACTTGAATGAGCGGTCTTCGAAAAACAGACTAGGAGAAGGGCAGCTGAGAATTCGGGCCATCCAAGGCAAGACGCATGGCAGGCACGAGACTGGACGTGGGCCGAGCGGCTTGGCGTGACACATGGGCAATGGGCATCATCCAACAAGGTAAACAGTAAACATGGTATGAGTTCGTCGGTGGTCCGTGCGTTTTGCAGCATTCATCTTCAGTTGGCTTTGTCTCTAAACGAGGGAACCCCAATATGATTGGTTTTCTTTTGACTTCCTGTTAGAGCAAACTAAAGCGGGGGGGTCCCAAAAAGGACACACCAGCGCGCGGCACCCACGACCTTGTCCTTTTAGCTGGGTTTCCGCTGCAGAAATGGTGGTTGCAGACTAGAATTCGGGCCACCCGAGGCAAGACGTGTGGCAGCGACGAGATTGGATGTGGGAAGCTGAGCGCCTCGGCGGCAGGCTTTTATAGAAGGGCGGGAGTTCCTTTCCACACTTCTCCATTTTCCTCCGTTTTTTGGTACATCGGAAAGAAACTGGCGAGGGCTCATCCACTTCCCGGAAACTAGTGGCAGCAAGGGCGCATTGGCGTTAGAACCGTTAGGACAGCTGCGCTTGAAGATCGTTCGCACCTCGATGCGGGCGGGTCAGAAGCGCTTGTCGCAGCTCGCCAAGTGGAAGACCGCCCAGGAGGCAGCAGCGATAGCTGACAAGTGTCACTGGCTTGTCTTTTGGGGTTAGTGAAAACCACCATTTTGTGGATTCCCTAAAAAAGCCAAGCCCGCATGTAGTCGATGCCAATCGATCCGCAACTTCCTTCGCGTCCGCAGGTGGCGGCGCTGATCCGAATTCGACTGCTGCCCGTGCAGGAGCAGCCCAAGCAGAATCGCAAGGGCATGTTGGACCCACTGGAGGCGAGAAAAAGACTGGGACACAGGTGCACGCAACTCGTTTTGGGTGGACATTTTTGTTCGGGGTGTCAAAAATGGGGGAAACCCAGTTTTCCTTGAGCTTTTCAGCCCAACAAAAAAGGGGACTGCCGAGGAGGCAGCAGCGATAGCTGACAAGTGTCATTGGCTTGTCTTTTAGCGTTAGTGAGAACCACCATTTTGGGGATTCCCCAAATAAGCCACGCCCGCATGTAGCCGAGGCCAATCGATCCGCAACTTCCTTCGCGTCCGCAGGTGGCGGCGCTGATCCGAATTCGACTGCTGCCCGTGGAGGAGCAGCCCAAGCACACCCGCAAGGGCATGTTGGACTCACTGCAGGCGAGAAAAAGACTGGGACACAGGCGTGCGCAACTCGTTTTGGGTGGGAATTGTTGTTTGGGGTGTCAAAAATAGGGGAGGCCCAGTTTTCCTTTGGCTTCCTTTTCAGCCCAACAAAAAAGGGGACTGCCGAGGAGGCAGCAGCGATAGCTGACAAGCGTCATTGGCTTGTCTTTTGCGGTTAGTGAAAAACACCATTTTGGGGATTCCCTATATAAGCCACGCCCGCATGTAGTCGATGCCGTCGATGCCAAGCGATCCGCAACTTCCTTCACGTCCGCAGGTGGCGGCGCTGATCCGAATCCGACCGCTGCCCGTGGAGGAGCATCCCAAGCAGACCCGCAAGGGCATGTTGCACCCACTG